GTGAGGGTGTGTTTCACAAGATTATTCCAAGCTACTTACGACGATCGTTTCGAACGAGGCTTAATTCGTTCATCATCAGGTAAGTTTAGAATATAATAAATCTGCATCAGGACCTTCACTTAAGTGAAATGATCGAATACACTGGGAATGTCATTCAAAAGAAGCAACGTTTCGACTGTAGTACATAGGTATCAGCGAGTCATTTTCTGGTTGTTTCCTGAATCACTTCAGTTTGACCGTGAAGTCAGACGAAAGGCATGATTATCTGGAAGAGTTTTTAGTTTTGTTTTCTGATTCTGGTTTGTTGTTCGATTGTTGTGAGTAAGAAGGTTCTCAGTCCGCCGCTTGTCTAATGTTAGTGTTTGACCTCTGTGTCGTCTCATCGTTCCTGTTCACTGTTATTCAAGGTAAAGTTAGTATTGATTGGATCGCTGTCAGTTCTTGTAGCACACGTTTATTGTGATCAGTGGAGACTATCTGAAACGAAAACGGAATGCAATTTTTAGGTTTAGTAACGAACAGATTGCTCATGATATGCATAAGAGAGTGTTTATTCAACAAAGAAATCAATGAATCATTGTTCTGGAAGTATTTTCATGTCTTCTAGTGTGTTGCTGACTATCAATCAGTCAGCTGTCTGTGTTCTTTTTGTTGTAGCTGCTTCGTTTCGTTGTAGTTTCGTGTTGTTGTGATGTTCCAGGTGACGGGTCCGTCTCTTTGAGTACTTCCATTTGCTCAATTTGAAATAATATAGAATCATAGGAGTGTAGCGTTGAGTTGTTCTCTAGGTGGCTGAGTGGTGTTTGATCGCATTCTTCAGCCATTTGCTTCTTTTTCTGTTGTTCGCTTTCTTCCGATGATTTGAATACGTGGATCCGTGCTGATTGTTCCGCATCATCTTGTACTAAGGCTGGCTGTTCTAAAGCAGCGGTACTGTCCAATTCAAATAATTGATCTTGTTCTTGTTGATTCTCTGGGGACAACATTTCCCAATCATACATCTCCAGCAATCGTTCGTTCATCACTTCTGCAAAGAGGTCATAGAGTGTTGGTGATCGACGCAGCGTGTGGTTGTGATGATCTCGATCTTGCTGTGCTTCTTGCTCCTCTTCTTCGTCATGGTTATATCGATGATCTCGTTGTTGCTGAAAATGTTGATTTGCCATTGGTCGGTATCGAATCTGGTGTGCGAGTTGTTAATGTTGATGGTGCACTCTCTGTTGCCATATTCGTTGTGCTCGCCTTCGTCGTCTTCGTCGGGATGTTCGCTGTCGCATCAGAATTTCAACTCTAGACAGGTCAGAGATCAATAGCGGCTGGCTTCGAGTAGCATTTCGCATATTATGATCCATCGGAGGCTGACTTGTTGTAACGACACCAGGCGAGATCAGTCGACTAATAGAGGCTTCGCTGTCACTGTTGCTGATCGATGGCTCTGAGGCAGTATTACCGATTTGACTATTATTGATATTCATGCTGAAACAAATAGCCTATGAGAAGACCTCTTACTCTGGCCACTGTCCATAATAACATTTTCCCCTAATCATTACAAGGTACTTACGACGATCTTTTGGAGTTTGATTCGAAAGCGTTTTGTATTAATATCGCAGTTTAGTTAGAACGGTTCGAATGAATCGCGATCAGGTAGTTTTATTGCTACTGTGTCCGACTATTTCAATTATCTAGAAGAAAGTTACGCAGAGATAAGGTTCATCGATAGGAAAAAAGGTTTCTCTTATTTAATGACGTTTTTCACAACAACATCGGATAGAGTGATAGATAGAGAGTGTCTTGAAACAGTAGTATTGCCTAATCACTGCTAGTTTCGCTTTCTTCACATTCATCGTCCGGTGGTTGCTGTCAGTACAGTACCGATCTGAAGAATTCCGATTCGTTGTTCTGTCTGATGGAATTCAATGAGATGTTTCTCGAGTTGATCAAAGAGATTCGCCTGACTCGGAACTTCCCCAATTAATGAAGAAACAATGACCAAGACTAGAAATACCTGCTGATGTTTGACCCAGTCTACGTGGGTCAACAACGGGACCACAACGACACACATCTTTCCAAGAGTCTACGTCCCAAGTGGAACGAAAAAGACCTGAGGGAGGAATCGTTTATTGGAGTGATTGATTTTAACCACGATTGTTCAATCTTTGTGAGAAGAGTCTTTCGACATTTCTAGCTTCAATCTTCTCGATTCTGATGATTCAATGCAATCTCACCAGAACATTTCAGCTGTCC